TAAAAATATTATTATTTTTATTTACAGCTTGAAAAAAATGAAAATGTTGCATGCGCCCTTTTGATTTATAGTATCTTGTATCGCCCTGAGGTTATTCGCCCGGCTGCGTTCACAGAAGCTATTTCGCCCCTATGTTTGGCCTGCTAGTTTTTGACATTGTCTGTTTCGCCTCAATGTTTACGTTCTTTTTACTGATGGTTTGTTACTATCGACCTATTGCAGTTTGTTGGATTCTAGATAAATTCATGTGTTGGGGTGGTTTTGCTCATTTCAATCGGATTAACAATGTTTTCTTTTCATTACCAATCGGTAATTGCAAGGAGTAGTGAAAATATTCAAATTATATCTTTCGCCTTGTATGGAGAAAATATGTCTGTTTCGCCCCATCTATGTATATAGGAGGAAGCGGCCGTAAGAGCCAACTCAATTTGTAATAAAAAAAAAGTTGGTTTCGCCCTTATGTTTTTTGCGTTTTTTTAAGAAAGTACATTATTTGTCCAAACATTTTTAGTACACAGCAAAAAAAAAGGTAATATCGATCAATGTAATTCAAGCTGATGTACGAAATAATGATGTAATAGCAAAAAGCAGATACAATATTACATCAATGGATGTAATTTTGTTCGCAAAATTGATGTACATCGTACAACGTTATATTACACAACCGATGGATTGACCTGGTTGCAGCAGTTTGGATGTAATATTCAACAACTTTTTTTTTCTGTGTATCGTTTTGTAGCATTTTAATAGTAGTATAACGTGATGTATTAACCTCAGTTTGTTTACACTTGCGACATTCGCCCTTATTCCAGCTCTATCTAATAATGTGGGTGGCCCTTAACTATCCAGTCTGTACAGCGTTTTAACCTCGACATTGACCTAACTGACTTCCTTAACCATTACCATTAAAATTCTAAAAAAATACTTATGTCGTTTTCGTTTTTGCGGTGTAGCTACACCGGTGCTACACTGCCGTACACCGAAATATTTTAGGATGTAGATATAGGATGCACCTTTGTTTACAAACAAATGATGTTGAGCTGTCAAAGACTCGCGCTTATTCCTGCTTACACTATAGTATACACTAGAGTCGGTGTATAATGAGTCACGCCAAGAGAAAAACAGTTGAACTCGCATCACGGTTTCCGAAGGATTCCCTTCCCTAATAAAAAATAACCATAGTCAAACGATAACCCAAATCATTCAACTATTCCACAAGTGGTTTGGATGATACCCAGAACACGTCGTTAAGCAAATTAACCATACAATTTTTATTAGGGTTTCTTTTCACTTGGCAACAGAGGACTTCTACATCAACTTTAAATGACTTCTAGCGAGAACCAAAAATAGCGGCTGTAGTGAATCATAATATCAGAGATTTTGTCAAATTATCTTATCAAAAAATAGTAGAAATTCTTATTACTGATCAAAACCAAACGTATTCCATGACCATTTAATGCTCGCTGCGTGTTTATGATGATTTCTTCAATTTTATTTTATATTTCATTGCAATACCTTTCGTAGACCTTTCATAGCATCGTAATGTTTATTTACTTTGCACCATAGGTAGCCGATTTGACAGTTCAATAGGTAGACTTGGCTTCACTCTTGGCGTGACTCATTATACACCGACTCTAGTATACTGAACCAAAACATCCGCAATACTTCGAATGATTATTGCATTGCTCGAGCCCTTTAACAATATGCATTCGAATTTCGGATGATTTTCTTATGGTTGAATTCGTCGTCAGATGATAAACATCCATATGACTGTCATCCAAATACAGGATGATTTTCGTTTGAAAATTAGCTATAAAACATACGGCACTCAGATGACAAACATTTAAGAATAGAGTGACATGCAAGTGGTTTTAATTAGATTTATAATCTGATTATGTACAATTTCATACTGAATAGCCATAATAAGCCATTCTATCATGGATACAAAAAATTTCGTGGTAGAGAAAACCTCCTCCACCACAAATTAGCCAAACATTGGTTTTCATCCTTTACCTTTGTTCGTAACAACTCTGATAGCGATGCATATGCTTCCACCTCGTTTGTCAGCTCAGATCAGCAAATGACGTTCGATAGAATTATTTACATCATCGTTTTGAATGATTTGCGTTATGGGGCTGAACCAATACCACCCGCATAAATCACAACCATACGATTACCACATTAAAAATGGTTTATCTTCCTCTGAAAACCATAATGAGAAAGGTTCAGTCAACTTTAATCAAACCATACCTAGATAAAGTTTTGACCATATTGATTAAGGTTTTCGAAGACCCAACCATATGAACAATGGGTGGTTAAGAACGTTCACCATACGAAATCTCGCTTTTTCTCATACATTTTTAGCAAAACAACTATAGCCTTACCACATCAGAAAAGGTTCTAGTTGGATATGTGAAACTATTTCCATTAACTTTCGAATAAGGTAGTACGGTTTAGAACCAACCATTGTTGTTAACTTCATGATATACTATGAAATGGTATAAATTACTATACTTATTGACGTTATAATAAATACTGTCGTAGCTTATCCGGAATACAGCCATCATGGGTTGTTCTTTAATTTTAATGTGATTTACAAGATTACTTTTTGTGGACACCTCCCTTGCTCTTGGTAACATGTTTATTGATCTAATATAAAATGAATAGATAAATGAATTTGCCCTGCAAAACAAACTCCATTCCATTTCTGGAAGATAAAAAGGCCCCGGCATAACGTACCTGCTTCGATTTCCTTTTTGGATGATGTGAGCCACCAACATCGAAATCTCCTTCACATGTAAACCGCTGTTAGCCCTGAATATTTGTGTAGAAAATGCATGCGCTTTTAAGAAATATTTTATGCTTTAAGCTAATATTACCAAGGGTTTTAAAAATAAAATAACGAACAAAACAACACAATGAACTCACGAGCACCGTTTCAATCAAAAGCGTTTTCTTCTGTTTGTACAAATTGTAAAAACATAAAGCAACCATAATCGAAACACGTAAGCGTTGTACAAGTTGTTTACAACTTTTATTCGTAATGTTTTGTAACAGTTCAGTATAGTTGATCAACCGTAACTAAATTTAGCTGAAACATACCAGAAACTGTAACAGTTGAAAGTAGTGTTTCTTTAATGTTTATTACATTCCATAAACCATAACAAAACTATTTTGTGAAAAGTTAACATAGCTAGTAAGGTGTCAGTGAAGTTTGAACTGTTCTAGAAATGATATTTTTCTATGCGGGATATGCATTTCCATTTAGTATGAAAGCCTTTCTGCAGAGAGCATTACACATTTCAACTGAAGGCTCTATCCCTTCTCATAACAAGTTTCATCCAGTATTCGAGAGGAAAATCATCTGATTTCAAAACAACCGTCATCCGGTTGCAGCTGTCATTCGAAAAAGCAATTTTGGTCTTTTGTTTTGAATGGTCTGAGGTTTCATTCGGTCAGAGGATGATGTTTGTGTACAGTATACAGTATATACACCAGTGCTACACCGCAAAAAAACGAAAACGACATATGTTGCTTATTGCTTAACCGTAAAATAATTATTAAATTCAAATCTAAAGGGTGTCCACGATGAAATTGCCACACACAAAATTGATTCGCAAAATTCGAGTTTTCATCCGATTGCTATCAAATTTTCAGGGATTGAGAAATAACTATTAAACTTCATTTTACCATTTTACTCGTATTTTATTTACAGTCCATACGCAAATGCCCGCACCTTGGCCTTAACCCCGGCCATAAGATTCTGCACAACCTGTGAATCAACCGTTTTTTGCATGTAAACCCATACTTTCTTCAGTTCCTCGACTGTATTCACTACCTTAGGTCGTTTAAAAAGGTGCTGCTTCATAATCGCCCAGTACTTCTCGATGGGGCGGAGCTCCGGAGTGTTGGGAGGGTTGAACATTTTCGGCACGAAATTGACCTTATTGTCCGCATACCACTTCAGCACGTCCTTGGAGTAGTGGCATGAGGCCAAATCCGGCCAGATTGTTGGGACGTTGTGGGCCTTCAGGAGAGGAAGCAGCCGCTTCTGGAGGCACTCTTTTATGTACACCTGTCCGTTCATCGTGTCCTGGGTCACGAAAGGTGCACTCCGCTTCCCGCACGTGCAGATGGCTTGCCAAACCAGGAATTTCTTCGCAAATTTGGACATCTTCTGAGTGCGGACATGCTCCGGAACGCTGAACTTATCCTTGGCCGTGAAAAACAGGTTGCCGGGGATCTGTTTGAAGTCGGCCTTCACATATGTTTCGTCGTCCATGATGCAGCATTCAACTTTCGTCAGCATGTTGAGGTACAACTTCCTGGCACGGGTTTTGGCGGACTTGTTCTGCTTCTCGTCGCGATTAGGGACCTTTTGTACCTTGAACGTTCGAAGCCCAGCCTTAGTTTTGGCCTTCTGGACAAAACTTCGGCTTAGGTGCAGCTTCTTAGCCACATCCCTAACGGAGGCGTTCGGATTTCGGTTGAAGGCCCCAACTAAGCGGTTGTGATTTTTGGTGTTGTACGGAATAGTTTTTCCTTCACTTCTGGGCTTCCGATCGGTGGTCAACCGTTCCTCGAACCGCTTAATCACTCGCGACACCGTGGAATTCGCGATTCCCAACGTTTTAGCGATGGAACGATGCGAGAGATCCTTGTTCTCGTGATGAATGCGCAAGATTTTATCACGCACGAGCTGTTCTTTCGACTCCATTTCCGCGAGTTTTGATCACAGGACTTTAAAAGTTGCAGGATGTAAATAATGCACTATGAACTAAATCCACCCAAATTTTCATTAAATTCTACCCAACGGTTAAAAAGTTAGAGCAATTTCATAGTGTGGCAATTGCATCGTGGACACCCTTTACCTTCGTTCAGCAATATTTTTGAGTGTGTAGTTGCAGTAGGTCTGTGCGATATTTTAACGATGTTCGGTGACCATCAGCAACTGTCACCGACCTTTTGTTTTTGTTTTCATTTCCGAATGTAATGCGTTTGCCTTCGTCTTATCAGTGTTGATAGTCGAAAGATTAAAATTTATTTTTTCCGAGGTCGTCCTCCACTTATTTTTAGTGTTATCCAGTAGTGGTCACTACAATAAGAACCTGTATTTATAACAATGTCAATCTCCACTAGTGTACGATACGTGGCTCATAATCTCTACAGTAGCTGGCACTACATGCTGATTCCACGCAATATTCATCTTTCGCGATGTACGGCAGTTTGATTTCGACCCATCGGTGTTACGAAATGTTCCATTAAACCGTTGTCCTCTTGTTTTGCTTCACAGATCTTTTACACGGTGAATATGAATGGCAAGACCCGAAAAGTGAGGATGAGGTGTAAGTAGCAGCTAGCTGGGGTATGCGTTAAACTTATTTTGACATTGAATTTTGATTCTAGAGTGAATGTAACGTACATCGACAAGGATGGTAAACGGATGCCGGTTCGTGGAAAAGTAGGTGATAACGCACTGTATCTGGCCCATCGATACGGCGTGGAGATGGAAGGTGCCTGCGAAGCGTCCCTGGCCTGTACGACCTGTCACGTGTACGTGCTAGGCGGTTACGTGGATAGGCTGCCTCCGTCGGAGGAAAAGGAGGACGACCTTCTGGACATGGCACCGTTTCTGAAGGAGAATTCCCGACTGGGTTGTCAGATCGTTCTAACAAAGGAGCTGGAAGGCATAGAAATGCAGCTGCCGCAAGCGACGAGAAATTTCTACGTCGACGGACACAAGCCAAAACCACACTAGTCAGGCGCAGAAGGGAAGGGATTGACTTGGAGAACAGAGAACGAAAAACGCTGCTGAAATGTGTAGATAATATCATATTATGTAGTTATTGTTGATGCAAGTGTTTTGTTTAACACGGTACCCGCGAAATAAACGCAATCGGTTTTAGGATTGGAAAATTGAAGTTTTTGTTTTTCCGAAGCTCTTGATTGGGAAATTTTCGAAGATGAACTGAACAGCATACACACTTGGGGTAATCTTCTAAAATCTTTATTCATGAAGTAGTATTTCATATGCGAGTCTCTTTCTAATGCTCTCAATCATAATTATGTTTTATTTATTCTTACTCGCTACGTTAATCATTGAATGCATTTCCATTTAATATATTTCATGTGTCAGTATATAAGTGTGTTCCATAACGTACGTGTGGTCTAATCCATATAGAGTTGTGCATTGCATACACACACCTACAATAAATATCGTTTTAAGTTGAGCGAATCAACATATTTCACCAGTAGGAATTAGACATTACAGCACTAAATCTTAAGGATTTGATTGGCTTCATTGTTGTAGGTAGAGGGGGATAGAGGATGGGATATATTTATGTGAAATTATTTACGATTTTACATCATCATCGCAGGATAACCACCGGGTAGGGGCGCAGCAGTAACCGCTGCAACCGGTGCCCACTGTCAGCGAACACCAGCACCTCCCCGATAGTAGTCGCTTCGTGATCGGGACATGGCCGAGCGGTCTCGGGTACGTGGCGGTTCCGGAGCGGCATACTTGTCCTGGTAGTAGTAGTCACTGCTGATAGATAAATCCGCTCATTAGATCGTTCCGATTGAAAATATAATACAACGCTTGGCTCACCCATTTCCGTAGCGCCGAGCTTCGCGTTCCCATCGCTCACGTTCGCGAGCTTCGATTTCACATGCCCGACAATGATAGTAGCCGCCGGGTGCTGCCATATTCCCTGCGACCGGAGCCGGGGGTCCCAACGGAGGTGCACCACCATGACCAGTGTAGCCTCCGCCGCCAGTACCAGCACCTTTCGGGTAGCTCACCTTACCGTAGTACACACCCGGTGTCGGATCGTGTGGTTTTTCCGTTGCCGAATAGTCGACCCGTATCCGCCGATCACCGATTTCGATTCCGTTGGCCTGAACGTGAGCCACCTTGGCGTCCTCGGTGCTTTCGAAGTAAACGAAGCCAAATCCACGGGAACGACCAGTCTGTTGGGAGGACGCGCGAAAGCAGTGGAGAAAGATTAGTAAAGGTGCGCTCTTGGGAACGGAAACAAAATACGGAATGTGCTTTGATTTGGAATTTTGACATGCTGATGTGCCTAACGGCGTGGTTTTCAGTTTTGAATTAATCGTTTTGAGAATTTGTGACAATATTCACTGCCGGAAACACATATGTTCAGATATTAGCAAAGACGTGACCAACACAATGTCAACACTTGTGTAGTTGTAGTTACGATCAAAATACTGTTAGGTAGGGGAACTAGGGCCAAAAAGGTCACCCGGGGGAAAGAGTGCCAACCTCAATATATGTTGAAATTGAAGACATTTTGAATGTCAACTCACCATGAACCTATGCATGGTATTCTTATGAAGCATTCTAGAAAGTTCTATGTAAATCATATAAACAAGATTATTTTCCTGGCAGATTTATCAAATTACCGACTTTTCCCGGTTTTTCCTGATGGAAATAAAATATCAACTATTTCAGGTTTTCCTGGTTCACTTGCCACACTCGTGGAAACTCATTCTAAACGACTGCCCGTCACTCCGTTCCTCTGACTAAAATAAGACGGGTAGGGGTGCGGTGCATCTTAATCTCAATTTAGCTAGTGAGCTAATCTACGAAAAATCTTTTTGGATCTTAAATCCATCTACTCGTATCGCTCTCCACTTTTTTGAAGGAAATCTTCATCAATCTTGTTTCTATCTACGAAGCGTGCGCGCATCTCGCAACAGCATATCAATCTTCTGCACTTTAGATAGGGTGAGGCCAGTACAGTAGCTACGCAGTAAAGAAGCATTTTTCCAACGTTTAAGGAGCATTTATTCGTTTTAATATTAAGTTACAGTAGCTGCCCCTTATAAGAGACAAAGCGTAACGTGAAAGTTGGAAATTTGATATTAATGAAGGTACAAGCCGTAGACGCTGTGCCGTGCATACATTGCAGTTGGCTGTTATGGACGTGGTACTCAAATACAATATAAGGAGTAAAGAAACTAACGGAATTGCCCAAAAATTGCATCGTTTTTTTTAACTAGATGGCCATTTTTCGAAAAACTTGGAGAGCAGTTTCAGGAGTTGGGAAAATTTTCAGGTAGGGTAAGGTGGGGCAAGATGGATCAGCTAGTACATTTATTAATTTATTTATTTTGTCAAAATCAACGGGTTTGATACAACTCTAATGATGGTTTGCGTTTTCAAAGGAGCATTGGGGTTATATTGTTGATGTTGACAATCAAAAAATAAATAAATCTCGATTACTTTTTTGAAGGAACGTATCAGCTTTTATAAACAATGCATTTGATCGTCGGTTGGCGACAACTGGTAGTTCACCCACGCATGCTAACACTATAAACAGATAGGGGCAATTTTCGCCTACCTGATACTGGTGTTGGTATGCGTGGGCGAGCTACCAGTTGTCGTCAAACCGACGATCAAATGCATTGTTTATAAAAACTGATACGTCACTTGGAAAAAGTAATCGAGAAATCAAGTAGGTTACCCATCTTGCTCCAACTTACCCTATACTTTCATTTCCTTAAATAATTGATGTTACAGATCTGTCTGACAGCTCGAAGTTCGCCGAGAAGTGATTGAATCAAGCCTGTTCAAAGCTTTTCAACAACTAGGAAAAAGAGGAGATTCACATTAGACATGCAATTTTCACATCTCTTTCTCTATCTACCTTCCATAAGGTTTTGGATTTCGACCTTTAATCCCTTTCAGTGTTCGGAAAAACTTCAAAACTCAAATCTCATACGTGAGTTTATTCGCCTAAGAATTATGCCTTGCAAAATTCAACTGCACAAAAATCACCGATGAGCCTCCAGGTTCAAACATTAATTGCTTTATAGTTTGGCGTTATTCATTGTTATTACTGTTGTTCTAGCATCAGTGGATGGAAAACTAACACAACATGCATAAGCATGCTATCAACTGACGTTTCAGCAGTTTTTTTTTATTAGTTTTAAGCTGAAAATTTCATTTAATGATTTTTGGAGTTGCGTAATAATTAAATCTGAGAATAGCTCCAGGAGCAATTCGAAAAATATTTCCAGGAGAGATTGCCAAACAAATTAAGGGGAGAAATCTAAGGAATATGTGAGGAGAAATGAAAATGAATTCTCAGGAGGCTTTCAATGTGAGTTGAATTCCAAGGGAAGGAGTGAGATTAAAATAGAAATCTGAAATGAATTCAATGAAAATTCTGAGAATCTTTCCATAGGATTTCTTACTGAGCAGAATTTCAAGGTAACTAATAAAACTGAACTCCCCTGAAATTCCCTTTGTTTTTGGAGCTTTACTAAACTTATTAGAAATGCTCCCGAAATGTCCATATAAGTTCCTGAAGTTCTTGGATTTTCCTTTAAGTTCCATAGACTTTTATGATTTTTCGAAATGTTTCGGAAGATTTCTGTACTTCTGTGAAGTTTTCGAAGTTATTCTAAGCTCCCGCAGCGAAATTAATTAATATTGTTCTATGATTTTCACTCAAGTTCTCAAGATTTGTCGTTTTTCGACACTAATTCACAGCTTCTTCAATAGTCTAGAGTTTCCTGGTATTTTTTAAAACAGCCCAAAATATTTCTCAATTACCTTAAAATTCTCTAGAATGCCCTGAATATCTTCGTATTTTTTTTAAAAGATTCAACAATTATACCATAGAGGTAACTCTAAGACTAGTAGGTCCCGAAGAAACGTGCTCAACTTTTTGGCTCAGCTCTGGTACTCTCTTCGGTCCCAAGCTAATCGATGCACCCCTCGAAACATAGGAAAATCCACGAACCCCTAATTTTATCTATCAAACTTTCATAGCGAATCAAAACAAACATTGTGTAGTACTAGAATTTCGACTAGAATTGGGTACGTTAATCGATTTGCTTGGGACCAATAGGCTAGTTAAGTATTGAGCCAATTTAAAGTCGTTCGTTTCCACCGGTTGATTATACTGTTGAATTGCCTTTAAGTTCTACAATTTTCCTTAAGTTTTATAAAGTTTACAAACGCTCACGAAACTTTGCCTTAAATCACTAATTTTCCCTGGAAAGTCCAGCTCTGAAGTTTTCTATGCTTACCTTCTAGTCTCTAAATTGATCAAATGTTCCGGTAAATCTTCTGATATTTATTTAAAATTCCCTGAATCTTCAAGATCGATCATAGAATTATCGGAATATCCCATAATTCCACGGAACTCCTTGTAAGTCACTGAAAATTTCCTTAAGATAATGGAACTTTTGTGATGTAATCTAATCGTCCTCGGAGTACTCGGAACTTTACTGAATATAACGAAACAATCTAAACATATCTAAATTTCTTAGAAGTTCTCTGGAATTTGTTGAAAATATCGATCCTTGCTAAAAGTTATCGCATTTTTTTAATTAATAGAGCTTCGTTGATGTTCTCTAATCAACTTAGCTAAAGTTTCGAAATTTTTTAGATCTTGAAATACTCTCACATTGTCCGGATGTTCATATAATTTTTGATGCGTTCCAGAAATGTTCTCTGAGCAAACGGAAATTTTCTTGAAACTGCATTAGGGTTTCTGAAATTTGCTTGCATTTTTTTAACTGCCCTTTAATTCTATGATCAGCTTTGATGTTCTCGGAGCTTCCCTAAAGCTTTCCATTTTAATGAAAGTTCTGCTCTAAAATAAATGGAATTCTCGTGATTTCTGTGAAGTTCCTGAAATATTTCTGAAGTTTCCATAAATGTTCTAAAGGTCTCTGTACTGCATCTCTTGGAACATCTTAAGGGTTCTCGATTTTTTTTCAGCACATCATACACAGCAAAAAAATAATTTTGATATCACGTCAAAGTGGATGCACTACAATCATGTCGAAAATATGGTGTAATATTACTTGCTAAAAAGGACAAAATTATCATTAATACAATGCATGAACTGACATTACGCTGCTTTTACTGCATTTGTTTATTTATGTGGTCATAAAAATTACATGAAATTTTCGACATGATTGTAGTGCATCCACTTTGATGTGATATCAAAATTATTTTTTTGCTGTGTAGAATTATCTTAAATTTGTCTAAACTCACGCTTATAGATTTTTCAACCAATCCAATAGTTTGGGCTAAAATTTCGGGGACTTCCGCTTAAGATCTCTAGAACGTTTTTCTGAGATAAATAGAACTTCTTAAAAGTTTCCACAATTTTTGCTAGTACGAAACTTCAAGACATTAAAAATGTTGTGATCTTAGACTTACTAAAATGAAGTCAAGCTTGTTCTTTAAAACTGATTGTCATGTCTTCAAAACGTTTGCGTTAATTGTTGTTGTTGTTGAAATCATATTTTAAACGCATTTCATAAATAGCTTTCTTATTTATAAACCTGGAAATTATCCGCCAAAGTTATGGAAAAACCTGGAAAACCCAGGGAACTTTATCCAGCCAAATGAGTGGACACTAGACTGATGCAAAATTTGACTTTTTCGCTCCACAGTGCTTAAATGGTTTCAAATCGGGTCCTGATTAGCCTCCCAAAGTAACAACTCATTTGGTTAGAAACAGACTTCGCACAAGCCATTTGAAGTTTACATGTAAATTACTATGGGAAATCTCAACTTTTTGTTCATTGCCTTCTAGTCTTTTTCCATATTGAGCTGCGAAACAGTTCGATAGCCATTCTCATAGAAAACTTTTTCAGCTACAACTTTGCTTAAGATCGTTTCTATGTAAAACGAGACAGGAAAAAGTTATTAATTATTTAAGAGATTGGTAAACTTATGACATGATCAAGCAGCTGCTCTGTAGGCAACACTGTATTTTTCAGTGTGACATAGTAGACATGATTTTTGTGTCCTATTCAACGCCCCAGAAACACCAATGTTGCGTGCTGAGCAGTTGATTGAGCATAATCATAAGACATCAGCGCATTGAACCATTGATAATTTTCGATCCTTGCATTTAATCAAAAAGTGGTCTTCAGCAAAGTTGTAGCTGGGAAAATTTCCTACAAGTTTAGTTGGAAGT